TTATAAATTTCATCAAATAAACACAAAATCACTTCCTCGAAAGTAAAAACAAAAATAAACATCATTTTCTCTAAATTATTTTTTATCAAAATTTAAGAATTCCTCGTTCATCATTTGTTCAATCACCAACTGAATATAATTTTCATCGTTCTGATCCTAATCGACGTGCAACATTACTTGCTGAATTATCATTATTAAATAATGTTCAAATTATTATACGTTTTCTTCAATATGATATTATTAAAATACCAACAAATAATCAATCATTAGCAACAACACATTTTCGACAAGTGCTAAAAAAATAATTATTTTTCTTTAATTCGAAAGTATGAGGTTTTTTTTTTTTTTGAATTAACTTTAGATTCCAAGTGATTCATTTTGGATTCCTGAACAAGCAGAACTTGATGCATTTGTTTATGATTTTCATCTTCAAACAATAATACGCTATCTAAAAAATTCAAAAGATGCACAATTATTTCCAACAGATTTTTCATTAATTACATTTTTACAAGATTTTATTGAATATTATCCAAATGCACCGATTGGATCAAAAACAGCTTTATTTAAAAGTATATCTCTTTTTTAATATTTGAAAAAAAATCTATTGGTAAAACAAAAACAATTTTTTTTTTAATAGCTATTATTCATCATCAAATTGATATTGGTAAACGTTCAGCTGATGCTTATTTATTCAAATATGTACTTGAACACGCAACTACATATAATATTCAAATTGCGAAACGAAATTCTGTAAGTTGATATAATTGATTTCATGTTGATTGAGCTCGATTCCACATTTTTTCTGTAACTATGATGAAGAGATGAATATTATTTAACATAGGTAATTTATATTCACATGAAGAATCAGTATTTAGATCAATTTAGTTTTTCTTCCTATCTATAAAATATTCGATCGAAAGATAGCAGACTTTGCAAGTATCATTTGCCCTTGCATATATCTATATGTGATAGAAGCAATAAATTATAGATCAGACTTTTAATAGTTTGTTTTTTAATATAAGAATCGTTTGAATAGATCAATCCTTATCAAAAAAAAAAATTTTTTAAACGAATTCGATTAAGAATATGGAACTTTTCAAAGTTGTCAAACTTTGGCACTAGAAAAAAAATGATACTTTGCAAAACGTTATTTAGAATTAAACTTATAGTAAAATTTTATCAAATTCTACAAGAAAGGCATGCAAACGTTTTTTTGCTATTTTCATTAAGTCTTGTGTCCCGTCATGGTCTTTCTCTAATTCTAAGAATGATACATCATATGTATGTATTTAGAGATGATACAAATAGTTTCGTCCATGTGAACAAAAAAAACGAATCATAACAATTAAAAAAGAAAACTGTTTATAAACACTCCGATCTAGGTTGTTGTTTAAGTTTTTTTCATGTTTATTCAGAAAACAACAAAACCAGACACTTTCATCATAAAAGTTTCATGAAGATACTTAAAAAAGGGATTTTTCCCTTACATTTTTGTCATACATCACGTATAAAAATATCAGAATATTATGGCAAATATTTTTGCAAGTTTTTCGAATGCAAAACATTCTTTGTTTTCTAAGCATCTGCACATCATTTTTATGATGGAAGTGACTAGTGTTGGCGTTTTTTTTGAACTACTGTGACAAACGCTCAAACAGATGTTGCAGTTAGAGCATTTTAGCGAGTTTATCGAAGTTTGTGTCTGCTTAGATAGTAGTGCGCTGGCCAGGTTTTAGTCTAGATTGCTGCGATCAGGATTACGAGAAGAAAGTTATTTGAGTCAAAGCTAAAAACTCAAGTTAAATTTTCTACAAGTTTTTGGCGAATTATATTACAAATCGTATTATTCAAGCGTGATAACAAAAGAAAGAATATTTGTCAAGTACATTAATCGAAGCATGAACATTTAGAATACATTTAGATTCAATGTGAATAAGTTTTGAGAAAGGTTTTTCTAAATCAAAATCAAGACTAAAAAATACCGAATTAATTAATATTAATAGACGATAGATTGAGCTTATCCAGAAATAGAAAAAAAAAACGCTAAAATTAAATAAAAATCGAACTTTATATTTTAATCAAATGACAAGAGTGCCATTTTCTCTTTGAAGAACAGTACGATAGTATCTCGAACATTTTTTTAAATAAAATTTCATCTTCTACACTCTTCAAATATATCTTTTCATTAATAATAAGAATCATTTATCTTTAATATATTAGGATGAATATCTGTACGATAATGATCTCAAAGATATTTATTGGATGGCTGCTCGTACCACTCCAGCATCATCTTCTGAATTGACAGTTGTTATGTATATTATCTATACAAATTTAACACCGAAACAACACACTTCAACAAATATAAGTGCACCATCTTTAAATAGAATATCTATTCCTTCAATAAGTAATCAACGAATGGGAAATAGTTTCAAAAATAATACAAATAATAATCAAATGAGAGAACGTGCATCAACTATATTACCATCATCTACAAAAACTAATCTTGTTGTACCAATTCGATCGAGTTCATTTGGTTCAGAACAAAATATTGGTAACAATATTCCTACTGAAAGAAATGTGGAATTTTTCAAGTAAGGAAAAATCCAAAAACAAAATTAACGAATTTAAAAATAAAAACTCATGTTTAGATCAAAATTAACATGTATATTAAATAAAGCATCATTATCACATCGTCGTGAAAGTTTATGGGAAAGATTAATTGCTTCGCGATCTGATAGTTCTATAGCTGGACGTCAAGAAGTAATTGATTATTTTGATATTTTTAATAGAATGTTTTATTTCAATTTTGATTTTTTAGATAATACCAATACATATAAATGAATTTCAAGCATTATTAGATTCGTGTATTGGTGATGAAACAATTGAATTGAAAACGATTACTTTATTGTTACAACGAGTATTTAATAATAAAGAACAATCGGAAAGATTGCATCGATTTTTACGTTCACGATATGGTTCACAATTTCATACGATTAATTCATCAACAGTTCATTATCTAGTAAGAAAAGAATTTTTTACTGATTGAAAACGATTTTGACAAAAAAGAGAATATTTCCTCTATATTTATGAATAGTAGCAAGTTCTATTAGGCGTAAAGTAAACGAAAAAGTTCAGATTTTTTATTTTTCTTTAGCAAATAGAAAGTAATATGCGAATGTTGAATGAACAAAAACAAAAATATGTTAATTTTTGCATTTCTCTTAATTTAGAAAGAAAATTTACAGTAGAATTGATTTCCAATTATTTTTCAACCTTAGAACCTATTATTAGAAAAACAAAGATACTAAATGAAACCAGTGTTTTGTATTGAGTTTATCATCTTACTCCTAATCAATTTACGTTTTATGAACCCATGTTTCTAGTTATCACTCATCATTATAATGGTGAAAAATGACGAAGTTATACATTGTGTTTTCTCTTGTTTCGCACGTCCAAGAACTTTTGTTCTATTAAAAAATAGCAAATGCTCTACAACCATTTGTTTCATATAATAAATAAATTGACTAAAGATTGTATATAACAGCATCTTCTACGGCTGAACTTTTCCGTTGGCTTTTAGGTGCAATTACGAATCACAGTATTTATTTCAATAGAAATATGTCGGGTTATTCTATCCTATCTTGGATAGTAGGGTAGAGTAAGACTTAGAAAATTTCTCTCACGAAATACATTGACACGTTGATATGTGTTCTCGTGTATCAATCAAAATGACTGTATTTTCTTCAAAAATAAAACGACTTGAAATCAAGAAATTACTGTCTCTTCGGTAATTTGACATGCTTTATAATCTGGACAAATCAAAAGAAAAATTTTAGCAGAAAGTTTGTTAGTTTGGAAAGTCAACATATGATGCCCTAGGGAGGCTACTCATAGCTATATTGAAAATCAACATGATAGATAACCTACAATCTACTAGCATTGTATAAGAAAGCGATTGATCAATTGAAAACGTTCCCTCGACGGTCAGAGTACAGCTTAAGATAAAAGCTTATCATGCACATCTTTAATTTTAAATGTGTGTTTTTATCTAGAAGATAAGAATGAAGATTGTCTCTTATACACCACAGTTTGTTTTGTAAAACACTTCAAATGATAAGGACTAATGAGACTTGGTCCAGGGAACAAAAAATATTTCTCAACCCAATACGTAATCATTTGTTCGTATTTAGATTTATTCATCATGAAATTTTGAATATCTTTAGTCTTATAAATAAATCCTTGGCAAATAAACGAAAAAAACCATCTCATATAATAAATATAATTTCTTTTAAGGTCACCTTTCAATGTAAAGCTCCACAACAATGCGATGCATTCCTTGTTCTTATCTATCGATCGGATCAAAATAATCTAGTAAGATAAATGTAACATTTATTTGAATTTATTGAAATTTCTATTTTATTTTTCTATAGAAATCGTACTTAGTCAAATATCGGAATGATATCGATTGTGCAACATTTATACAAACGTTTACACAAAGAATTACCTATTTTCTTTGGGAATGTTTGATTTAGAACAAAACATAAAAATTTCATATTAATATAATAAACATTTGTTTCTGTTGTGAAATTTATAAAACAAAAAGAAAGAACGAATTTTGTGAAAGAAATTCAATCGTATACTTTTGTATATATATATATTTTGATTAGACACAAAAAAAAGGAAAAAAGATAAAGAAAATGATTTAAATATTGTTTTGATTTAAATTCAATTTTTTTTTAATTTCGATAATTTTTTTTCAAATTCTGTTTCTTGTTGATTTAATAACTGAAATGTTAAACTATGTTCATCATCAATTGATCGTTCGAATTTTATTTCATTGAGATCATTGTTTTGTAGAGCATAGATTTTTTCAAGTATTTTCTTCATATCATCTGTATGGATATTATAAATAGATTCTATTTTTGTTTTTTTTTGGAATAGGAAAAGAAATTAAAAATTAAGAAAGAAAAAAAAAGAAAAAAAGAATTTATGAAACTTAGTTAATGAGATTCATCACCTGTTTCTTCGTCATTGGTATGTTCAGCAACCGGTGGTAGAGCAAGATTATATGTACGTCGCCGTGATATGATTCTTTTGGTTGGTAAATGTTGAGCTTTAGATTTTGAACTATCAATAGATAAATTAGGAGATAAGGATAAATCATGTTGATCAGATAGAGCAGCAATTGAAGATGATGTATGATCATATTGTTGAACACTAACTTGAGACGTACATGTTGATGTTGAACTATTTCCATCAGCACTAATCGATTCATCTTCATCGGATATACCACTATGGCTCCATTTAGGATCTTCCCCTATTAAAAAGTAATGTATACGTAACTTTCGAAAATCCTAGGTTCAATCTTTTTGAATGATAATCGAAAATACTCGTATGCATTTGTCTACTATCGCATGTCTAAATGTTGATTTTCAATCATGTTGTAGACATCATCTTAAAGCTGTTAGCCCAATCCTGGTAGGATTAAACTACGAATCATGATGTAACTGCTCTTGTTAAGAACAGGAATACTGTTGTATTCTATATATTATCAGACATATGTCTTTACTATCTTTTTACTTAATCACCTAGATATTCAATAACGAAGTAGTTCATATATTAGAGTGAGAAGTAATTCATATATGATCTTGGATCGAATATCAAAACTTATTATGATCTGCGATGGAAAGGAAGGACATTGTTAAAATATTTATCATGCTCTATGAAAGAGAATGGAGTAGGTCCCAATTTCTACCCTGTATAATTCAACACTCTTTTCAGATGGTGTTTCACAAAAGAAACTTGTTTTTCTCACTTTATGAGAAGAGAAGTATTGTCTTTTAATTTTAAAAAAACTATAATTTTGATTAGAAGCAAATTATAAATGAATATCGTTACTCTCTGTGTGATACACATTTAATTAATGCTATCATGTAATTCTTGATAGCTTAAAACTGTTACACTATTGATATTGTTTTCAGTGTTTATGAAACTAAAACTTTTCACATCTCTGAATATGTTAACTAATAAAACTATGCATATAATCATATCTAATAGATTTATCATCATTAGAATTGATCGAATCTAAAAAAAACTATGAAACTGTGAGATAATCTATTTGAATGACCACAATTTCGATCTAGAAAAAGCAACGTAACTCTGTGATCTGGTTAGAAAAAAAGATACAGTGAATTTAGGCTTTATTCTCTTCGTTTTCGATTTCTGTCATTTATAACACTTGAGAGATTCTAATATGAGAAATTAATAAAAAATAATATTCTTTTTTGTATTATTATTAAACTTACATTCATCAACAATTAATTTTTTTTGACGTGATTTCTTATTCATTTCCAATTCATGATGTGGATTATTTAATGATCGTGATGAAATATATAAATCTTGAATATTATTTAATTTTGTATTAGTATTTATTTTTTCAGATTGTAATGCATAATCATGACGTTTTATAAAATATTTTGATAAATGTGATTTTGATTGTAATATACTATTTAATGCTCGATTATGAATAGGCTCTTGTTCTGTTAATTTTGGTGTCCATTTATGCATTGAAAAAAAATTATTTTGATGAATTGATTTTGAATGTAATGCATTTTGTTTAAGAATATTTCCACTAATTGTTTTAGAATACGTTATTGGTTTTGTATGTGGTGTAGCAATTCGATTATTTATTTTAAGTGATGATCTGTCCGATAGAAATGCTTGTGATACTTTATTTCGAAATGTAAAATTTGGTGGAATTGTTAGTGGTAATTGATGTCCAGAAATATTCGCTACATCTGACTTTATTTGAATAGGAGAAGTACGTTCTATATTAGAGCGATTATTACGAATTAATATAGGTGATTGTCGTTCAAGTTCTTTTTTTATTGTTCGTGGATGATTATTATTATTTGTTGATTGTTCATTTAATTCAGCAAATAACAAATGTGGAGATGAAATAGATGTTGGTGAAACTTTGAATTTAGTATTGGATGTTGTTGGTTTTTGAATAGATGACTGCAATGATTCGATTAGAAATTTGAGAAGTTTCAATAAGACAAAAAGAAATTACAAAAAAAAGAAATCCTATACTTTCATTATATACAAAAGATAATGTCGAAGAAAACATCAAAATAAGAGAGATTGTATCTTTTTTACTTTGATAAAAGTTAGGCATATACCATCTGAGGAGGGAGCTGCTTTAGCTGCGACCTTCCGATTTCAATGATTATTTCTATATAGATGCTATATTGTGTTCTAATAAAAATCCTAAACAGACTTAGGGTCCTATTGAATATCAAATTTTTAAGATGTCTTTTCTAAAAATTCCACATTTTTGAGAAACTCATATTTTTTTCGAATTTTAGTCGGAAACTTTGCGCATATAGAGAACTCGTATAGACTAGCTCTCATATAAAACTCAGATGTTTTGAACAAAGTCTCTTCAAGCCATAAGACTTTCAATGTAAAGATCCGGTTCCACGGATAATATCGCACGAACAAAAATAAGTTACTTTTTTCAATTCGTTTTTTTTCACTCCTCTTTTATTATAGATATACATCTGTATATCATAATAAAAGTCAGAGAGTCAACCACATTTGTATATGTACATGTTATATTTTATTTATGTGTTATTTCGTATTGATTACAAAATAACCTATGTTAGTGACATTAAGAAAATATAAACAGCAACACACCGAAGAAAAATATTCGATTTAACCGTTTTCAGTTTTATAGTAAAAGTATTGCTGAATATGTCTTTTTTTGAAAGTTGATTATTTTCTTTAGTCGACACGTTTCACAAGTGGTCACACACACTATCAGCAATAGTCGATGAAGATGCAGCTCTAAATGTCAGCAGCAATATTACTATAAGTTTTAGCTCGATTACGACAGGTATCCACACATATAAAATCTTACGCATACTCATGGCACAAGCCATTACTGTATATCATAGTCATGAGGCTGATACTGTGTGCATGCAAAGTTGGAATTAGTTGGATGCAAAGAACTTGAAGTGAGATTTTCACTTCGATTCAGAGCTATGTCTTCATTGATGATTGGTAAGAGGTTGAGTATCCACTTCTGACCCTTATAAACTATAGAAAGAATCGACTTTCAAAAAAGACATATTTATGAATACCTTTACTATAAAACGAAAAACGATTATATAGGATATTTGTCTTCGTTGCCTTGTGGTCTGTCGTCTCTCAACATTACCAGAATAGATCATTTTGACATGAATACAAAATAAAACAAAATAATAAGTAAATAAACAATTAAATGGCATATAAATTTTGTTGGTTTTAGTAACCATATAATGACATACAGATGTATATAAAATACCACAAGAGGAAGAAAAAAAAACCAATTGAAAAAGGAACTTATTTTTATCTTCTGGAGAATGTATACAACAAGAGTTTTTTTTTTGAAAACTTCATATTTCAAAGCGATTTTATTCAAACTATCTGAATTGTTACAGGAAAGCTAATCTAATTCAGTTCTGTATATATGCAAAGTTTCAGATTAAAATTTGAAGACACGAGTTCTCCGGAAATCTGGAATCTCTACAAAATAGATATATAGAAAATTCACTAGCTTAGCCAAATCTGAAATAGGGACCGAAATCATGTTAGGATTTTTATTAAAGAACCACGTAGTATCGTCTATAGAGGAAAAAAATCATTTAATTTGAAAGGTATAGCTAAAAAGGTTATCTCAACAGTCATGGTCATTCAACAGAGATCAAGGATGTGTCAATCTACTGCAAACCGATGAAGACTGAGTTCGATTATTTATGAACGGGGATCTAACTTAACATCTACCATGAAGGATATCAGTATGTCAGCTCATAGATGAAAGAGTTTGAGCAGCAGGTCCTTGATTATTTTCCTTTGATTTATTTAACTATTCATTCTCATATTTCGAAAGTTTTAAACAAAAAAATTTTTATTGATAATATAGTCTAAATAAGTATTTCGACCATCGAAACTATGAGAGACAATAGACGATGAAATTATTTATTCTTTCTTGTATAAGTCACGATATTGTTTACCTACTTCAGTTTCGTCAGGTTTATTTAAAAACGAACGTATAACTCGCTGACGTTGAATAATACGGCTTGTTTCTGATTTATAATTGTTTGATCGAGTATTTGATTGAGAATTTCTTATTTGTTTATTAGTATTAAAATAAGCTGTAAGTATTCGATTAATCGGATGCTCATTAATATTCCGTTTCAAATTGTTTGTAGGTTGTGTTTGTACATCATCGTGAAACATCAGAGTAACGATTGCTTTATTTTAATAATGAATTTTTTTTCTCACTTTCTCCTTTTTCTTTTATACTAAAATTATGGGTCTTCGTTTGGCGTGATGAAAAGAAATAAGAAAAAAATCAGAAGAAAAAGATGTGAGAAGAAGTAACGTTATTTCAAACAAAAAACAAAAACAATATTTTCCTTTTTTTGTGTGTTTAAATGATAAATGAAAAATCAAGCGGTAAAAACAGAAATCATAAATAAAGATTTTTAGATGAGTTTCTCTCGAAAAGATGATAAAGTCATTTTAATTGATGGTGGCCTTGGCACGACATTGTATGAATATGGACTTGCTACTCTTGATGATCCTTTATGGTTAATAATTCTAACAGAAATTTTCTTTGATGTATTTATATGTATTTATTTTTATTTTTCATTGCTATAAGGTCTGGAAAAGCATTAGTAACAGAATTGGAACAACTTGCAAAAGCACATCGAGCGTAATGTTTATATATATAACTATATTATAAATACTAAATAGATTAAAATTTAGTTTTGTTCAAGCGAAATGTGATTTTATTTCAACTGCTACGTATCAAGTTTCAGTTGAGAATTTAATGACCCATCATCATTTATCTAATGAACAAGCAGAAGAAATTATATATAATGCAGTAAAAATTGCTCGAAATGTTATTGGTTAGTTTAAATTTGAAACTATAATTAAAAATGAAATTATTTATTTATTTATTCGAATATAGATGAAGAAAAAGCAAAATGTTATGTAGCAGCTTCAATTGGTCCTTATGGAGCAACGTTAAATGATGGTAGTGAATTTAATGGATGGTATACAGATTCAATGACAATCGAAGTATTTCATTTTTATTTGTTCATTCTAGGTAATTATTGATTTTTTTTTTTCTGTAGCAATTCAAAGATTGGCATCGACCTCGATTGGCAATATTAGCTCGTGCTGAGCCTGATTTAATTGCTTTTGAAACAATACCATCCCAAAAAGAAGCTGAAGCACTAGTTGAATTACTGAAAGAATTTCCAAATGTAAAAGGATGGCTTTCTTTCAATTGTCAGGTATTAAAAGTTCTCATGAAAAATAGTCACAAATGAAAATAACGTTAAAAGTTTTAGATAAAAAAATATTCATTGTTTGTTGAATGAGACTGTTTTCGTGTAATATAGATCCCATCTTTTTTTTTTAATGTGGATAATCATCAAGTAATAGTACTTGTAATTAGAGAATAATTTTAACGATGACAGTTATTATTTGATAATTGATGAGTAATAGGGAGAAAAAAAGGTTTAGTCCTATATGTCGTCATATATATTTTTTTGAATCATATACTACCATAAATATGAATGTCATGCAAAGGAAAAATATTACGACTTTTACTTTATGACACATCGACTTTCTTTTACTAAAACAGAAGAACGCAAAAGATGAAAATATTATCATATTTTTTTTAATGCATATCTCATAAATGATTGTTTAATGTGCAAGTTATCTTGATTTTCTTATTAGTTCTAATAAACAAAATAATAGAATGTTGTTTATTAAGCTTTTGCTTAATCATCGATGAAAAATTTTACAAAAATATAAAGATTCTACTATGTATTTCAAAATAAAAGGCCGATTGCCATTTTTCGAATAACTTCTGATAGAAATGAGATACAGAGCTGCGGTTTTCACCATTCGAAAGAGTGATGTCTGGGTCATCGATTTGCATAATATTCATTGAAATGAAAGATGCTTTCTCATAGAAAAAAATTTGATTGACACTTTTTTCTTGTGTATTTTCATCAATTTTCACGATAATCTCTTCTCAAATTACGCCAAAATGTAGCTGAAATCACCCTTTTCTCACTATAAAATCACCACATGTTTCATCATCCACGTTGATCTCTTTTTTCAGGTGGATTTCGACAAAATGATGATAAATTTATAGCGAAAAAAGGGTGATTTCAGCTACATTTTGGTGTAATTTGAGAAGAGATTATCGTGAAAATTAATGAAAATATACAAGAAAAAAAGTGTCAATCAAATGTTTTCTATGAGAAACCATCTTTCGTCCCAATGAATATTATACAAATCGATGGCCAGACATCGCTCTTTCGAATGGTGAAAATCGCAGCTCTGTATCTCATTTCTATCAAAAGTTATTCGAAAAATGACAACCTACATTTTATTGTGAAATCCGCAATAGTTTTGTAACTACTGTTAGTATTCTTCATAAGACTGATTGATAAATAAAATCTTAAAAAGAAATCTGTTAAATCAGTATTTTTAATTACAAAATGTATATATACATATAGGATTCTAAAAGGACAGCCCATGGTGAACCAATTGAAGAAGCAGCTGCATCTGTTTGTCTTAAATCTCCTGATCAAATTATAGCTGTCGGGGTAAATTGTGTACATCCAGACACTGTTGTTCCTCTTATCAAACAAATGAATAAAATTGATCGCGATTTTATAGCCTATCCTAATGCTGGTGTTACATGGGATGCTGAAAAACAGTAAAAATAATCTTGATTCTACTTTTTATCTTGTATATATTCTATTCTTTTTATTTATAATGATAGAGTATTCAATAGTCAAGGTCAATCAATTGCACCATTTATTCCTTCGTATATTGATGCTGGCTTAAAATACGTTGGAGGGTGTTGCAATGTTAACCCAAGTCAAATTCGTGCAATAAGAGACATTATTGATACATATTCACGTTAAATATAATAATATATGTTAGTAAATAAAACACAAGACACATCATTTTACTTTAAAGTTCATCAGTTTATGGTTCAACGGATATGAATACACTTGATCATGTTGAATTTATCTTTTATATGCCCTTTCAAATCTAACAATCATTGTCCTATAAAATACTTTTCGATTATAACCTTAGAGTATGATCGTTCTTTTTACACGAAAGAAAAGGAAAAAATTTGACTACATGTTGTTTGAAGTACAGATAGTAAATGTATGTCTCGTCTTTAAAATATTCTTCTTTCTTTATAGTGAACTATACATTTGCCACGTTATTACTCAGAGGCATGAATCAACGAAGCATGACTTACAATAAACATATTTCCTACCCTCCGATCTACCGATTCATAATATAAATGGCGTGATAGAAAAAGGATACACTTTTTTTTTGTTTTTTCGTTTTATTGCATTTTTTTCGTATAAATATCAACACCATATATGTATTATTCTGTCATTTATTTTTTTTCTCTTTGTTGTTGATAAATTCATTAGAAGTAAGAAGAAATGTCAAATTTGTTGCATAGAGTTTCACATCATGATATAAAAAAAGTAACAACATTAGTAAGATCAAAAACATACGCACATGATTTGACGAAAATAGATAAACGTTTACCAGTAAGTATGCGGAATTTCTCTTATGTTATAAAACTAACATCATATAACACATATATAAATTTAACCTTTCATACTCATACAAGGGTTTTTTTCAATAATAAATAAACATGCATTTCTCATCTAATCACTCACCTTCTAAAACACTAAACAAGGTAACCTTTGTTTTTTTGTTTTTAAATAGTTCAAACACAAAAATAACTCGGTTTTTTATCAAATTTTTAGCGTCAATCTACTCTTCCTACATTTGGCCATGTATCAGAATTTGATTATAAACGTGATGCGAAGTATTTATCCAAAATATTGAAACAATGTATAACAGCACATACATTGGATTTAGATGCTATTCTTCATTTTTTATCATCATATACATGTGAACAACGTATTATTCTTGTTCGTGATCTTGAATTTGAATATGATTATAAATTAATTGATATGGTACTCGAAAGACCTGAATCTCCAATGCGTTCATGTACATTAGCAATGTTAATTGAACCAGTTGAATTATATGTACGTGATTTTCATGATTTACTTACATATAAACAAATGAAAAAAATCGATTATGATATATCAAGAAAATTAGTTGAAATTTTATTACCATTAAACAATGAGGATATACACAAATTTAAAGAAACATATGAAAATTTATTTGAAAGTTCTGTAAAAGATGATATTGATATTGTTCAAGGTGTTGAAAATTTAATAACAAATTTACTTAAACAATTACTTGAAGGTAAACGTTATGAAGAATCTGGTCATTCAGCAACCGTAGCTAAAAATATAGCTAAAAAATTATATGACGCTGGTGAAGGTACACCTGGTATTGATTATGATACATTTATAAGAATTTTTACACATGATGCTTTTTCACAATTATCAGCTATATTTGATGTATATGAAGATAAATATGGACGACCAATACAAGACGCAATTGAACATGAATTTCAAGAAAAAATTGAAATTGAATGTTTTCAAGATATGGTCGAATATGTACGATCACCAAGTAGTTATCATGCTAAAATACTTCGACAAGCATTAGATAAAACACCAATTGATTACGTTACTTTAATACGTACTATTATTGGTCATGAAGATAAAGATTTAGATGAAATATGTTTAGAATATTCAAAAATTTATGATGAAACACTCGATCAAACAGTTAGAAATCATATTGATATTCAGGAAATAAAACGTTTATTTACTCTTATTATAACACATGGACGAGATGTACCACCAACTGAATATGATCCAGTGGGTTTTGATCAATTTCATACTAACGTTCCAACTAGTCCAGGAGCAGTTTCAACATCATCGTCAATGGGGAGTGCTAATGGAATGAGAAGGAATCGATCACAAGAAGCATTCGATAAAATTTGCAATGTTTTTAAAATAACTCGTCCTCATTGATCTAATCATTTCGTGATTTCTTTTCTTCATGATCACTTTTATCTTTCTTTCATTATTCGATTGAAGTATAATCAAATATAAAAGAAAAAAATTATTATTCAAAACTTTCAATCATTATTATTCTTTTATCTCAAAAAATTGATAATACAGACATTATATTTACGAGAGTAATGACAGAAGACGTATATATAGAATCTTTAAGTCTTCTTTTTAATTGAATCTCTTCTTCCAAATATGTTCAGAGTTTCAAAAAAGTAAATTTCCGCATAACGAAAGAATCTATGCACGAGATATACAAATTCACTGGTAACTGTCAACACTTCGTAGGATCTATTGAAAGCTATCATTAAGTACAGCTAATTTAACCTTAAATGACGTAGTTTCCTAAAATAGTAATAAGAAATTTCTGAATAAGTTATGAAATTAGTGAGTCATTATGAAGTTATTTTAGTCTATTGCAATACGAGAAAGAAATAATTTATCCTTCACAAGATCAGTAAATTTAGAAATTAATCGACCTGTGGCATTTTCGATCAAAGAATGGAACTGGATACGGTGAACAGGTCTTTTAAAAAAAATTGAGTGTGGTAATGAGTTGTTTTTTTTGATAATTGGAGCAAGTACTGACGAGAGAAGGCTCCCAAGTGTGAGTTTCAATTTTGAATGGCAAATATACCAGATTGAAGAGCTCAATCAGCTGATTCTCGTAATATATTACGTCTTTTTTCAATGGAACTTCACATGAGAAGAAAGTGTTCGATTTTACTAGAAAACTTCTTCCCTTTGGAAAAATCCAGACATTTGTTAGAAATTTCAATCTTGAAGGACTCTTAAAGCTTTCGGCGATTATGTTAAAACATAGACAATGTCACCTGAGATAGTCTATTATTATATTATTTTTAGCACAAGTTAAGCTTCAACTTCTGGATACATAGCAAAGTTTTCTCTGAGGATCACTCAAGTACATCCAAGTGTAATAATTTTACAATTAATGTGTATAGCAATGATAGAATTGAATTTTATCGGCGAATATTGGTCTCCTATTGGTTTAAAATAACATAATAATAGGCTATCACATGTGGTGTTGTTTATTTATTAATATGATCATTGAAACTTTAAGAATCCTGTAAGACTAAAGTTTCTATCAACTGCCTTGAAATTTATCCAAATTCAAAAAATCCACTAGTAAAATATATCATTTTCTATTGATTTGAAGCTCCATTGGGGAAAACAGAATATATCACGATAATCAGCTCGTCAAGCTGTACAAACTGGTATATCTCCTACTCAAAACTGAGATTCACACTTAGGAACCTTCCCTTATGAGTAGAATTGTTCGATCACCATTATTCATAGAGCAAGTACATTTGAGAAAAAAAATCGAGCATTACGGCCAGTTCTCAAAAAAAGAACCAGTTATTAGAACTGTAACTGGTCACAGATCTGGTAATTATTGAGAAACGATAGCGGTGTATAAAAAAAATCAATCTACCATTTTCTTAGGTTTTACTGTGAACAGGTTAAAAAGATGGAACATGAAATTGTACACA